TTCGCTTGAAAGGTGTCGAAGCCGAGGTTCTTCAACGTCAGGGTGAGGTACTGTGACGGAGGTGTCATGGGAATCTGGAAAGTGAGGCCAAGGATGTACAAGGGCCAGAGATCGTAATCTTTGAGACTGTCCCAGAGCAACTTTGGCGTGATTGGCTCGCGGTTGTGCATGCTGCTCTTGCTTGGGTCTTCGCGTAGAACTCTGTTGACAAGGATGACTTCCTCTCTGTGTCTCTTGTTAGTTCTCTTTCTGGAAGCACACCGTGCCGGAAAGCACTAGTCAAACTCACCTTTCTGAAAACCAGCCCTTCTTCCCGCGAAACCAACTTGCAGTCTGACAAGGACCAGCTGGCATCAAAAGGAAGCCGAAGATACCAATGACCAGTGTCAACAGCCCTTCAATGAGGAACAACCATCTCCATCCAGAATGTCCTTGAACGCCACGCATGTGAAGCAATCCATACGCAAAGATCGCAGAAAGAATATCCGCGATGCTCATGGCGGTCCAAAAGAAGCCAAGTCTCAGCGATAGCTCGTGATGCTTGTAGAAGTACGACAAATAGAGGATGATCTAGTCACTGGATGTTAGTCGGGAAAACTTCATGGGAAGTCAGTTGAAACAGGTAGAGACAGCTTACATCGGGGATGAATCCACCCTGAAGCAGACCCAGCAATGCACGGCAGGCAAGGAATGAGTCTCTTCCGTTGAGCCAGAACTGACAGCTGGCTACGATACTCCAAAGGATCATTTGTGCAGGAATCCAGCGATCGGGGCCAACCCATTTGGAAACAAGCTGAGATGGCAACTCAGCGCAAAGAAAAGCAAGCTTGAAAACGGTGTTTCCGAGATTAAAGTCTGTGAGCTTTGTCAGTGTTTATCTACTTGCGACGCCAATACTTGTGGTTTACGACGTACCATTGGTGCTCATCTTCAGATCCCCCAGCATATTGTCCGTGTTTGCTATAACAGCCGCGTGTTAGACCTGCAATTGCGCATGTTGAGTTGAATTAAGCGCACCTTGGCTGATGTTTGCTCGATCCAGTTCAAGCGCCATGAACATGATACATGCCCAAATCATAATACGTATGTCGATCTTTCGAACTTTCCTCAAAGTTAGTCAGGCACAAGTGCACCGCAAGTAATTGGAAAAAGAGGCTAAGTTTACTCACCCAAAGCATACTCTTCGGCCCATGTCCATCGGGCGAGAGGGTCAAAGCGATGGTAGTTCTCCCTGCACGACGTTGCACGCATTAGAGATGATGCAGTTTTGTGATATGTACTTTGGGCACTCTCAAAACTCACCAATCTTCTCGCGGATGATATTTTTCGGCCGAATCTGGGTCGTCAAAAACACTCGGCTTCATCGTAGAGTTAGCGGTTTCTCGAAATGTGCATCTAAACCTAACGTCCCACATACCTGAGTAGCGACGGCGAAAGGGTCGAAATCTTTGTTCCGCTGGAACCAAAACCGTTTCTCCTCAATGGGAGCCCCGAGAGCTGGGATGCCTTCAAGAGATACGGCAGATTGGTCTGCCTCCCCCTTCTGGAAGGTGTTCTTTGCCAGAACGGTCGCCATGGTTACTGACGATGATGTCGTCCTTCCGACTTGGTGTTGAGGCTGAGAGATGAATGCCGGATTTGATGTCTCCTCGGACCTTCACCTCAATGCTATATAAAGAACTGCGACGAAGAAAAGACGGGTCGGCGGATCTCGTCAGAAATTTCGGGATCGTGGAGCTCATCCGCCACCGGGACTTCACTTTCATGTTAGACTGGGTATGCCGCGATGGCGAATGCGATCCACAGTATCACGTTGTTGCAAGGGAGACGGGCGCCGGCGTCTTCTGCAGCTGTAGGGGTCTGGATTCCGGGTCCATTCTCCCATATGGCAATTCTCTATATCCTTCCGAAGGGACTCGCGAGACAAATTATCCTTGTTCTCGGGTTTTCAAAGGGTGTGTGGCTTGTTGGAGGGGGAAATAAACTTCCATATGCGGGAGAAGAGCCAACGAAGTAAGCAGTGCCCTGACGAACAACCGGAAATGTCTCGACGACATTCACGTGGTTGACCTAAAAATGCCAGTATTCAACGGGAGTAAAAGTGAGCCCACAATCCCAGTCAGTGAGTCTCAAATCTGCCATCATTTCCATGGAAATTCCCGTAGAAGTGAGGGTGGAAATGCCTACTTCAGGTCCTTTCACCTTCCCGTTGCCCTCATCCTCGGACACATTCCATGCATGCACTTCCACTCGCAGGGAATCCTACAAGTTTCTGCAAATTTGTGAACGCGTATCACCCAGCGCGGGCGTCGGACGACAGGTCACCCTTTCAGTCTGAGCTCGCCTGTATCCTTGTCTGAGATGGGGAGTGGGGGGAGCCATCCGAAGTCGCCGTGCAGAGACTCAACTCTCTCCCAGTCTGGATTCTTCAGCTCACAAGAGACTCAAAACGAATGATACAAAGTAAGCGCCGCTATCGCAACTGTTACAGCTGTTTAGTGACCATTCAGAGTTCCCTTCGAGTCTGGGTTGGGCTGCGTTCTTCGAGCTCGCCATAGGCCAGGGATCTGACGCAAGACACCACTTCAGACCCTTATCTATGAAGTTAGATTCAGTCCCAACTGCGCAAGACAACATCCAAAACCAACATCAAATACTATCATCTATCCGTTAATCATTCTGATGGAATATCTGCTAGTTCTTGTGAACATGAATCTCGTCGCTTGTTGAAGTGCGGGCTGACAAGGCACCTACGCGGGCTTGCATCAGCTTGCCCCCACGAAAACCCCCAGCCACCCGCAGTCCAAACTAATGCAAATGCTAGGTATTCTGAAGTAGAAAGTTCTCCTTCTTATCGAGGAGCTGAAGGTTGTTCATGAAAGGGTTGTTCAAGAGGTGAAATAGGCGAGCAATCATTGGCCAATCCGCGCGACGAAACCTCGATCACATCATTCTTGCCGGATCTACGCCATTGTGTAAAGGGGGTGATCAATCACGAAATGGGTTCGCTGTCTTTCACCATCTCAAAGCGCTTCTTAACTTACGAACTGTAGAATGCGGGGAATACCCGAGCGATTGACTCTCACCGGATGTCGCTTTATCGGGAGTTCAAAGTCGTAACCGCCGACAGGATGTCGCGATAGCTTGCACCTCACTACTCCGCATCACGAGCGAGCCGGTCGACTTATAAAATGGCATTATTTACGCCCGTTGGGAGAAGGAGAAAAAGCAAATTAAGAGACAAAACGATCGATCGCATATACCCTCTGAATCCAAAATCTGAAGCACTTCGTCAGCTGAAATCATGGCTCCTACAGCTATTGACACCGAGGTACCTCTTCATACCAGCACCAAGACCTCACTCCCGACCCCACTGAAGTCATCGAACTCATTGGAACAATATGAGTCCTTTGATGTAACCCCAAACATTGGTCGCGAATTCCCAAAGGCAAACCTGGTTGACTGGCTCAATGCCCCCAACGCCGATGAGCTGATTAGAGATCTTGCCATCACAAGTAAGTCGCTGCGGTTAGGAATGAGTGTTAGGCGGCAGGTGTGACTGACTGTGGGATCTAGTCTCGCAACGCGGTGTCGTCTTCTTCCGTGCTCAGGACAACCTGACCAATGATCTGCAAAAGCAACTAATCCTCCGATTGGGAGAGCTCACCGGCCGACCCTCCGACTCCGGGCTCCACATCCACCCCGTCCTTAACTCGGAGCGGGAACTGGGCGGAGCTGACCCGGAGATCAGCACCATCAGCTCTGTGCAGCACAAGAAGATCTACCGCAAGCCTCTGGAGGGTGAAGAGCTTAGCCCCAAGAAGCAGTCGACTGCACAATGGCACAGTGATATTGCTTTTGAACCTGTCCCGGCCGACTACTCATCTTTGCGCCTCGTTGAGCTCCCCAAGACTGGCGGCGGTAAGTAGAACACGCATGATAAGTCTTGGAGGGACCGGAATGAAGCTAAGACAGCATAGATACCCTTTGGGCATCCGGATATGAGATTTATGACCGCCTCAGCACTCCCTACCAGAAGTTCTTGGAGAGCCTTACGGTCACTTTTGAACAGCCTGGTTTTGCAGCCGCTGCCGAGCGTGGCGGCTTCAAGCTTTATGATAAGCCGCGCGGCAACCCGAAGAACATTGGCAGTATTCTCAAAGCTGTCCACCCCGTTGTACGAACGAACCCTGTCTCGGGTTGGAAGAGTGTCTTCCCTGTTGGCGGCCACGTGAAGCACATCAACGGCGTGACGGCGGAGGAGAGCAAGCACCTGTTGGATTGGTTCCTGGATATCTTGCAAAAGAACCATGATATACAAGTCCGTCTCAAGTGGCAAAATGCTAATGACATCGGTAAGTTGCTTAATTTGTGACTATGAATGGATGTGCAAGTAACTAAAGAGAATTGCAGCCATTTGGGACAACAGAAGCACATTCCACACAGCAACCTTCGATTATGATGACCAAGGAGAAAGATTTGGAAACCGGGCGGTTGGAATTGGTGAAGCGCCTTACCAGGACCCCAACAGTAAGGGACGTCGCGAGGCATTGGGACTCTCCTATGTGACCGGACCTTGAACATGAGCTACGAAACTGCCAAGTACATATGATATTTCGGATCTGAGAATGATAATCAAAGCACACAGAGGTGAAGCTAGTTGTCCGAGATATCATTGAATAGACAAGGTGGAATGCACAGTCACGCAATTTCTCATGAACACCCCGACTGCAGTTTTCTGAGGGTTCTAGAAAAAGGTCTAGTCTGTAAGCCACCAAAGCCTTCCCTCACATGAGTGCGCTCGTGACTCAGCGGTTAACGTTGGTCTGCGTGAGTTAGTCAACGCATCCTTACGACGGGTTCGGCAGAAGCACCGACCTTGACTACCAGTGAGACGAGCTACCTGCATCAATCTCATGTGATATGCATGACAAGCTGACGTCACGCATCTTCAACTTGTCACATTAGCGCAAGATCCTGGATGTCCAGCATAGCAGAGCGCAGGTCTTTTCAATTTTATTCGCTGGAAGTAGTCCTACAAATCTGTTCCTAGATGCAGAATTTGCATACCCTGAAGGTGGAATTGCATGCTAATCTTATACAGCAAGTATGCCTAGCGGCATCGTCCCATAGACTTCATAGTACCCGGTCCAAATCTCTCTAAAGCTGCTTCTCGTTCTCCTTGCCCTTTGCCTCCTTCGGTGTGCTGATGCCAATACCCAGGACAATCAGGATCCGAACCAAGACCATCGGCGCCGTCGTGAAGAAAGCAACGTAGTCCTCGACAGTCCACGTGGATCTGTCCAGCCAAATCTCCCAGCCCCCGACGGCTTGCGCAGTACCGTGGCAGAAAGCGGCGTCGCTCAGAAGCATACCCGCACAGAGAACGCGCCAGAGAGTGAGGTCGTCAAATACCCGCATGACCACGCCCTCGGTGAAGGCGAAATGCAGCCAGCCGCCGCCAAGCTGCGTGTAGATGAACTGCGTGTTGGGTTCGTATGCGAAGGCGTTGCGCGTCATTCCGGCGAGGTATTGATTCGGTGTGTGGAGGACCATGACGGCGCCGAGTAGCGCGAAGATTGGCTCAAGGGTCATAATGATGAGTCGGTAGATGCCTGGCACTGCGGCAGAGCCCTTGATCGTGACCCGTTGGGAGGTCATGGTGTTCCAGTCGTCAGATCCAGTTCGCGAGAGGAGAGTCCCGTGATTCTTCAATGGATGGGGTGATAGTGATTTCGCGTCTGAGAATTTCGCGTCGCAATGGCGATTTGAAGTGTCGTGCAGGGCAGCAAATGCAAGTTTGGGGTGAGAATTGACCGAAATTGCGATGAAAAACGCAGCCTTAACACTAAAAGATCGCATCAAAGAAATACGTGCCGGTCCCTAGCTTTATCAACCACTGATTGTCGAAGCTTATCCCAGCTCAATGAAACACGTACTCGGATGCGCCGGCTGCGGGGTGACTAGATTCCGAGACGAGCAGTGCCAGTGACCCTAGCTTGTACGAAGCTGCCGAAGGGCACGGTCAATATTCAGCGAGCTAAGGGGTACATAGTGCAATTTGAGCATGAGTGCAGAGGCCAACAGTTGGTTGCTTGCTACGGCCAGGACTGCTTGATGATCCTGACTTCTTGTTCGTGTTTCGTCATACAAGGCGGGACGCGGTCTTGTGCTGCGAAAGGTGTAAGGCGTGACAGATCGTATCATCCAGAAGTGAGACGGCTTGCCTACGGCAGAAGCCTTACAATAGTGAGCATGTAACACGTCGAAAGTTCCTCCGTCTTATTCGAAATAAATTGTGTCCGTGGCCTGTGCGGCTTAAAGTTTGAATTCGCTGAGGACTCCGAATCTCAAAGATGAGCGAACTACTAGTTAGTTGAGTCTCCGTACGGGGAGTCTCTCATCGTACTCGTGCGCCTACAAGCTCATCATCTCTTTCAGTTGATGACAAAGTCAGAATGTATTAGCACCGCTGGCCTTTTGGTTCATCAAAAAGTAAAGCAGCACCGGAGAGGCAATGGAAGCACCAGGCCATGTCTCAGTCGCATGTGGATCCATCATGAAAGTTTCGGCTCCCACTTGAACCATTTCTGCCGAAATGATCTGGCTGAAAGCGAGAATTATGATAGCTGGTTGCGAGAGGCCTGTGCGAGCCAGTTATCTCTACGTACTAGTATTGTTGGAAGAAAATTTCAAGGGGAAAAGTTGGAAAGTGCTGGAGAGCTCACCATGCTCAGTTATTTCGAATGAGAGCAATGCTGAAAACTTCCGCTCACTATTTTGCATCCATAACACGAGCATTGATTGTGCTCTGACCACATCAAAGGGGTTCATCGATCCACAGTCTTATTCAGGTTCGGGACTTCAACACTGACTGACTTGCCTGAGACTTGGTGTGGGTAAGGGGTGTCAGACCATCAAGAACTTGATGCGCATGGCTTGTGCACGCACAGAGAGACAATGATCTGGTGTGAGCATTTTTGAAGGAGGCGTCAGGCATTCTCTAAGTAATACGCACTCTATTTATCTGAGAACCCTGTGCGGTATTCCGTGATGTGGGTAGCTGGTGAACAAATTGCAGGTGATGGTATTGATGGTAAGCTGACAATCCTTGGTCGCGACTATCGTCTAGACTAGAAGCATCTCTTACACTGCTCGCGATGGTACCGCGTATTAGCCACCGTACTGAATGACCGCATTGGCGCTCTACTTCTTGTCGGTCCCGTCGCTTTCCCCGATGCTCTCATTTCCTTCAGGGTGAAATTCCACTCCTCCAGATTCCAAAGTTGTCTCTCCATCCTTAGATCCTCGCTTCTGTTCTCGGAAAACTAAAAGGCGGATACCAACCACTGCAATGATTGCGGCGATGATGAAACCAAACGTTGCAGGAAACCCGTATCCTAAAGGCGAAAAATCATTAGTAGTCGTTCGTAGATGGAGCAATCGAATATTGCCAATCAAGAGCGTGCTCCTGTAAGGTGTAACTGATACTCGATGGTCGTGACTGTTGATAGAGACAAAGTAGACTCCTTGAGAACTTACTAAAGGTTGGAGCCATGGTTTGCGGAAAGATGACAAGGGGAAGCCATGCGTCGACGGCATATTGCATTCCATTCATACTACTGATGACCAAAGCGCGCTCCTCATTGTCGCCGGCGCATATTTCATTCGCCCAAGTGTAGCTGAAGAATGGCTTGTCAGCCCAGGAATCGGTCTTGAATGTAATATTGCACGATGTCCAGGGCAAAGACTTACAATACCGCCGTCATGAGATGCACACTGCTCGTCAGGAAAGCAAATAACTTCAGCTGCACGCTTGGTGGCCAGAAAGCCAAGATGCCGTTTGGGATCAAGGCCAGCAGCTGCGAGTATGTCAGACTTAATCATGGCGCAGAGTGGTTCCCAATACTTGGGTTCGTGGCGTACCAATGGGCAGATGATCAATGCAAAGCGGCTTCCGGTGTAGTCCGACAGGAAGCCCCAGAGAATGATACAGAAAGCACTGATGAGCTTTGAGCCGGTTGGGATGACATTTCTGTCTACAACCGAAAATTTCTCCGCCTTGAGCCAGATGGCAAAATATCCACCCGATTGGCAAGATTCACCGTAGAGCTGATGGTAAGTTAGGTCTCTGTAATACACATGATGCCCTGTTGAAGTAGGAGTGATTTACTTACGACATAGCCCAAGACAAAAGCGTACCACCTCCACTTCAGAAGGACTCTTTTGAAAGTAGCCAAGGTGACTCCTGCAGGTGCCGCTTTACCAGCCTTCGTTACTCGATCAATGGCCAGCTCGCATTCTTTGGCGGTCAGAAACCTCGACTTGGTCGTGTACGGTGTGTCCGGTAAGACGAAAAGGGTCGCAACGCCGACGGGAATCGTCATGCACTGCCACATAAGATTAACAACTTTGTCCAATTCTTGGCCAATTCCGACTTTAAGAGGCAACTGCAGTACTCACTCCGCAGACGATGTACAACCATCGCCACCCTGCGTGGCCATGGGCACCGTCGAGGCTCTTGTAAACTGCTGCTTGAAGGTATCCCCCAAAAGCCGAGCCTAGAGGGGCGGTCATATGGAATATGGCGACTCTCTTTGCAAGCTCTGTTTTGGTGTACCAGCTTCCAAGTACATAAAGTAAGACAGGAAAGAAAGAGCTTTCAAAGAATCCGACAAGGAATCGAAATGCGTAGAGCTGGCCAACGTTCTGCGTCCCTGCCTGGGCAAATGTAAAGATACCCTGAAGAACGATAGTGTCAGCATGCATGCGTGCTTGAGATCTCCCGAGAGGGGCAAGGAATACCCATCCGACTTCCATTGCGGCCAACCATATGCTCGGCCTGATCTTCTGAACAATCAAAGTACTCGGAATTTGCATCACAGCATAGGCGCAGGTGTAAACCATTTGAGCATACGTATACTCGTTGGCAAACATCTTGAGGTCCTCCTGCATTCCTGAGACGTAGGCGTTTGCAAGGTTTCCCTGATCGAGATACTTCATGAAGAAGCCTAAGCATCCTATGGTCAAGATTGACCAATCCAACTTGCGAAGCAATACGCGCTCTTCATGACTCTTCAGGTGCGTATCCGTGTCCCAGATGAAAGAGCGAAATGACCGCGAGGGCGCTTTTGAAGGCTGAGGCGATGATTCTGCCATCGTGGACGTTCAGAAATAACGCCTTGAGTAATATCGAAGTTGAAGGTTGCAGAACGATCAAAGTCAACAGGCGCAGAACTTAGCAGGACGCAACTGCCTTTAGTATGTGCTCCTCACCCTCCACTGATGTACCAACTGAATGATATCTCTGCACGTAAATGTGCAGACATGCACTGATAGCACGGAATGGCCACTAACAATGATCAACACGGACATGTAAGCCAAAAGTAGAAAAGTCCAAGTGCCGCGGCCCGGGCGACAGACTGATGCTCCCGTCTCATTGAGAACATCTTGCAGTGCAAACTGGCGTCGTACTGGAGCCATCGGGGTCATTCCGACGAGCTTGGCCAATAGTAGTTGAGATGGGATCGCGGGGGATGATAAGGCGACAGAGGCAGGGGGCGATGACGAGCTCAGCCAACCACCCGGACGCTTCCCGGGGAATAAGACTCTCGGAGGGTTCTACCGCCTGAATTAAAACAGAGGAACATAAATGTGCTGGTCTTATTGAAGGGTTCTTGACGCAGTCTTCTGTTCCTGCACGTCGGGAAGACTTCATGGTTACGTTGAGGCCTGGCGGAGGACATCGCTCGATTTTAATGTTCAATCTGCTGACAAGGGTAGTCAAGAGACCGCGTTGATTCCTTGTCGTTCTGGGAATTGATCGTGATTTCACCCTCAAATGACACACGTTAGTGAGTGTCTATTGCACGGTATAGAGAGCAATAGAGACGATGTAGAAACCTGCAGTGGACTCTGTTCGTTGCAAAAGCCATGGCTACCTATTGAGAGTGAAGAATGGTTTATCTAACCTCCTATCATCGGTGGAGTAGGTACATCCCCTCTTTTTAGACACCAAGTGGATGGCCGAGGAGCCACCAATGGACCAGGGTCTTTTGGCTACTTGGAAGTCAGAGTATCGAGAGGTTGGACCAGAAATTTTCAAGTGTCCCACCACCCATCTGAGCGTCGGAAATGGCGACTTGGTGTTCAGAATACCTAGTTGTCCACCACGAGGCACAAGGCGTTCCAATCACTCTGCATAGGGAAACGTTGTTTGAACCACTTGATCATGCCTTTTTGGACGTTATCGTGATGACATTAATATTATGGAGCTATACTACTTGCTATTTGGCTCGCTTAGTAAACGTTGTGCTCGCCGTGAGAGCAGCTCTTAGCATGCTCAGCCTGCTCAGAAGCCAAAGCCCACTTTTGGAACTCGCGGCGAATGGCATCACGGCTGCGACGAGCAGGAGTGGTGGTAGCACGGCGAGGCAGACCAGCGGGGAGTTCGTTGGCGAAGTCAGCGGCAACACGGGCAGCGGCCTTAGCGTTGATGGTGAGAGCGTCCCAGTTGATGTTGTCGAGGGTATCGCAGGCCAAGTGGTAGCATGGGTCGGTGGGGGCGCCGGCACCGGTGAAGATACCGGAAGAGGGAATGCCGAGCTGGAGGAAGCCGACGTAGTCAGAGCTGGAGCCAAAGCCACCGAAAGCAGCGGGCTTGCCCTGGGCCGCGATGTAGTCGTGAATAGGCTGGGCGCCGAACTTGTCACCCTCGTTTTCTCCGAGGTAGACGTTGTAGACGGGGTTGATGGAACCGATCATATCGTAGTTCCAGTAGAACCGGATGGCATCGGCCTCGGCCTCGGAAAGCTGGGCAGTGTAGTAGAGAGATCCGACGAGACCGGACTCCTCGGCACCCCACCAGATGAAGCGAACCTTGTTCTTGAAGCCGCTGTACTTCTTGAAGGATCCAGCAATCTCGAGAAGAGCAGTGGTACCGCTGCCGTCGTCGTTGACACCGGGTCCGGCCTGGACAGAGTCCAGGTGAGCACCAAGAACAATCACGTTGTTAGGGTCACCCTCCTTGGTCTCTGAGATGATGTTCCAGGTCTCGCGCTCATCCCAAATGGCATCGACAAGAAGGTTGACCTCGAGAGTCTCGCCAGCAGCCAAACGCGCCTTCCATGCAGTAGCATCCTCAAGGGGAATGAGACCCACGGGCACCAGCAGACCCAGGTTCTCAGCGCTGAGGGTGGCAGAGCCAATGTCCTTGCCCGGGGTCTGGTTGTACAGAATAACACCGACAGCACCGGCAGCCTTAGCGAGCTTGAGCTTATCAGCAATGGCGCAAACACCACGCTTCACAAGAGCAAGCTTGCCAGTGGCATCAATGCCAGCCCACTGGTCAGCGAAGCAACCAGAGCCTATGTGTGTTTTAGTCAGTTATTGTCGCAATGACTCAGTTGATAGATTCCTCCTACCTCTGGTGTCATCGACGGGAGTGTCAATGAGAGGGGCCGTGTCACCGCCGGGGAGAGTTGTTGGGTGGTTGTATTGAAGAGCGACAACATAGACATCCTCGCCATCCGGGCCGGTAACGCTGATTTCACGCGTTTGGGAGAAGGTGTGGTTGAAGTATTGGACCTTGGTGTCGAGCTGCTTGTAGAAGCGGCCCTGTACACGCTCGAGGATGTAGTCAGAGGAGGCCTTGTAACCAGGCAGACCGAAGGCTCGGTTGCCGCCGTTGTCGCGGGCGATCTTGTTCAAGTTCCAGAGGTTGCGCTCGAGTCTGGCAATAACACGTTAGACGCCTGTATAAACTCCAATTGTAGTATGGAAGACTCACTCCTCGGTCTTGATGTCGGCCTCTGCCTTGTCTGCTGTGAGGGGATCGGTTGCGAAAGATCGCAGCGCGAACAGCGCAGCTGCGAGGGCGGTGGCGGTCTTCATCGCGTATGGAAGCTATTCTCAACCGCTAATTGAGGCACGAGATGATTGTCAATGGCTTCTGGAGAATCCCAACGAATGGACTGATCAACAGAGAAGACAAGCTGATCATGCCAGCGGCAAGGCGGGGACATTTATATGCTCCGTGTCTACGCCTCCTCGGCGCGCCAAGAGCGTGGATACGGCGAAAACAAAATTGCGCGATAAGACGACATGCAGTGACACCGCATCGTGAGCAGCGGGGGAGTTTGCGAGCTCGGTTTGTGCTGGAGCATAGCGGTAGACCTACGTAGGGGGGGAGACGTTTGCCGTGTTTACGGTTGGCTCGCCGCAGAGACCTAGGCGTGGCAGGGTCGGATAGCTTCGCAACGTCGTAGAGATGCTCAGAATGGCGGGACAAAATTCGGCTTGGATGAATTGCGTCCAAGGGTCTGGTAGGCCTGCTCCTTGGCCGGCAGGTTTACTGAGGCATCGATGCGTCGCGGGCGATGCTACCTCTGGCAGGTGAACGATGTCGGGTGTTCTTGGCAAGTACTTTTGCTAGAATGAATTGCGAATGTTGGTCTAAGGTTAAAGTCCAATCCCCAACCGATGCCATTACTAGGACGCGGAGAGCAGGTCAATGACTGGGGGGCGACGCGGAGCAGGCGTACTACGGTATCAGGCCAAAGTTTAACCCCCTAGTCAAGTACCCGTGGGGCTGACCCACACCCACCTTCCATGGGTGAGTTAACCAACCAGAGGCCGCCATTCCAGCACAGGCCCACTAATTAGCCCAGCCTAACTTTTTTACTAATTACGATCTCTTCCTCTTATATACCACCTATCTACCTACTTACCCTCACTTTTAATAAACTATTATTAATATAGTATAGTTAATAAGTAATATAATAAAGTACTTTAATAAGGCCGATTACCTATAGATTTATATATTATATACTAACGTAAAGCTTATATAAGCCTAAATAATTAAATTAACTAGATTTATAAAAACTAGGTCCGTATAGTTATAAAAGCCTTATTAATAATAGTTATATTATATTCTAGCTACCTATAAGTTATAATTATATAATAAAAAAGCTTTTATTAAATACGTTATTTTTTTAAAAGGGCCGCTAGGCCTCTTTTATTATTTTTTTATTATACTCTTTTCCTCTTAATTTAATATTTACGTTATATAAATAGCCTTATATTAATTCGGGTTTTATTATCGTATTACCTATTATAAGCTACCTATATTTAAAACTAACTAAATTAAACGTTTTACTTAGGCTTAATAATACTTTTACTAAACTATTAAAAACTAATAAAAATCTTATAAATAAATAAGATATAAGTTATGAGTAGTTACTATTATAAACTCTATATTACTTACTATTATAATAAAAATAAGACTAAATGTATATTATTAAAAGTATTAATATAAATAGAGTTAGATATTTTAAAGATATTTTTAAGGATTAAAAGGACTAAGTATTTTCTAAAAAAAGATTAAGGTAATATTTATATTAATACTTATTAAGAGCATATTATACTTATTAATAACTAAATTTGCCTCTATTAATAAATATATAATAATAACTTTATTTTAATATAAAACGGCGCTTTAATATATAACGTAGAGTTAACTTACTTAATAAGAGCTTAATAATTATAATATCTACTTAATATTTTAACCGCTTTTTACTTAACCTTAACCCTATTAAAATATATTAAAATTAAATAAAGGATTATATATAGGAGCTTATAAATATATAAAAACCCTATATATAATATATTATAATAATAAATTAAAAAGGCTTAGGATACTTTTTTAAAAGACTTCTTATACTTATTATTAAGTATAATATTAATACGTTACTAAGTAGTAATTAATGCTAACGGAATATATATTAAATACTAATTTAGCTATAGAAATTAATTAAGATCTTATAATTATTAATTATATTAGCTATTTTATGCTAATGATGTGACTAGTGCGCTGACCCTTGTCTGTGGATCGGTACCAGACTAGGGGATTAAACTTACCCCTATGGACCAAGTAGAGCTTGAAAGAAGCACGGAAGAAGTGGAAATGCGACAAGCTCTGGGCTACCGGCGGATCTTCCCCCTCTAGACTCTGTGGATCATCGTTGCTCTATTGGGCAGGTGCCAAGCCTTAAGAGAGGGGCTTTTGTCGAGAGTGGCTGAGAGAAACAAGTCTAATCGGACCTTGGGCCGTTGAATACCATACCTCTCTGTCCCCTTCTCTCCGAATGCCGCAAGAAAGG